CCGCCACCTGCAGAGCTGTTAGATTATGGTTAGGTAAGCAGAAATGTTCTGCCACTGGCTTCTGAGTATTCCCGGTGGGTGCATCTAGACTGGCAAGATTTTGTGCGAAAGAGACTGCTTTTACGCAAAAACGTGCCAGCTGTCTACACTGGCTGCTTGAATTTGCGCAAGAGCATTGACGTTCTAATGTAAGAATTCAGTGGTTCTTGCGTAAATACTTTGACACTCCTGCTCAGGGATAAGCCCTCTTGCACAAGAATACTTGCACAAGAGGGCCAGTGTAGACAGACACCTTAATTTTTTGCGCAAGAAAGCCTGATGGCTAAAATGGCCATCGGAGCTTTCTTGTGCAAAAGAGCGTCTATATTTGGCACGGATGCTTTTGCGCAAAAGCACTTTTTGCGCAAAAGCATCTGTGCCAATCTAGATGCTCTTTTGCGGAAATACTTTTAATGAACAAATTTTTCTGTTAAAAGTATTTCTGCAAAATCATGCTAGTCTAGACGCAGCCCCTATGTATTGCCTTATAATGTAGATACTAATTTGTAGTATGGGAATAATAGGGTGCCTGTTTCAAATAATTTAAACAATGGATACTGATGGAGCTTTTTGCTTAGGTGATGTGTCTTCCCCACCCCTGACTGAAATGTTCTACTGGTTTTGTTTTGTTTATAGCGTTAGATAATTGTTGCTATTATATTATGGCCTACCGTGCATGGTAATAAGTAGTAATAATAATAGTGGTAATATACATGTTATGTGTTTTTTGCTTTAACTTGTCTTGTTGTGCTCTTCCCTCCCCTCTCTGGAGCCCTCTCCTCCCTATTCCCTAGAAGACTGGCAAATTGTAAGCATCAGGCAAGGCAATCAAAATTTCTAGAATAAGCTTCTGAGACATTTTATTCATAAATTTATCCCCTCATAGGTTCTGCGTGAGGACTAGATGGAATGTTATGGAGCAAATAATACAAACATTCCATCACCTCCATCACTAAGAATAGTAGCCCAATGTCTGTGACTCTAACGCAGAAATGTTGGCTGTTCCCTCTGGGTGGCGCTGTTGCCTGAAATGCTGGCTGTTCCCTCTAGGCGGCCCGTGCTCCGTGGGGAGCCCAAATGGCCACTTGCGCCATTTGCTCCCTCGCAGCGGCCCAGCTGAGCAGCACAGAAGTCAGCCAAGCGCCACGGTGGGAGGGGAAGGTGGCGGGGCGGTGACGTACATGGCCAGAGGGCAGGGCCTGGCCGTGTATGTCACCGC